ACGCAGAAACAAAAACTCGTCGACGCCAATACTCAGCGTTTTCCATCGAGGAAAATTCTCGTAAAACTTTCCCACCGTATACATATATATATAAAAGAAACGCTGATTTCCTGCCGTTGTGAAGTCGGTCCGTCCACCTTATCAAAAATCGATGGAACAAGTGCGGAAAATTTAACGAGTACGTTTTGAAATTCACAAGTCGTACGATTTCGCGTAGCCCGTCCACTGTAAGTTAGTGGGACGAAATCACTGGAAATTACAGAATTGTTTTGAACGATCGGCCTGCAGTAGCCTATTCCATCTGTATTACTGGTAATTATCGTGAGGTTTGGCTCAATAACCATTAAGCTAGACAGAATAGGGGGGGGGGAATTTGCTGTGTCGCAGTGTGTGGGATAATACCTACTTGTGTGTGGTGAAACGCTTCTTCTTGCAGTAAAGAGGGCGGTGCAATGTTCGAAATTGGTGTCGATCGATTATTTATAATTATGAATGGTAATCTCGAGGCCAAACAATAATTATTGTAAGTTCACCCTTCGATTGGCACGTCTCCAATCGAGCGTCACCAACTTCGGACCATTGGGTTTCGATATACCCGTTTGACTTGTGCTGTATCAAAAACGTAGGTCGTTTAGAAACCATCAATTTGAAACGATTAGAGTATTATATGTGTGTAGAGAGAGAGAGGGAGACGAAAAGACGATAATTTGTTTCGTTTTGAAAATATTACATCCGCGAACTAATATCGTAAACCTGTATTTATAATACAGGTATATTATCTATCTGTTTTCGATAAAATCCCGTGCGTTATTGAGTGTGTGTATCGAGAGAAGAAATTTGTCAAAACTCTTCAAAGTGGAAAAAAAAAAAAATAAATCGACTTTGTTCTGGGAAAACACTATGTCATGTCGCGCACTATCGTCGACGTGCAGGTCTGTTATATTGAACACAGAGCGAGGGGATGTACGTCGTCATATTTTAAGTCGGTAAAAGTGTATCGTGTTATGTATGTGTGTAAAACACTAAAAAAAAAAAAAAAACGTTAACTGACAACGACAAATCTACAAATCTGTCGCCTAACAAAAAAAACGAAAATTATAAATACGGATATTCTTTATAAACCAGCGGGAGTCACACTAAATATAAAATTTTTAAAAAAACTGTCGGAGACGTTTTGGACGGAAGAAAAAACAGCGATTTGTAGAATTTAAAGATGAAAATGTCCGAAAAATCTGAATTAAAATCATTTAAGGTGGAAATAAAAATTACACGTATTAGTCAGTTTATTTTCATTCCCTTGAAAATATTTTTTCTGAAAATTATTATATTAAAATTCTATTAATTTTTCCCGCATTACATAAAATTGTTTCGCTCAGAATCGAAAATTCCTAATCAATCGGCCAAAGCACATCATAAATCGCAACCCAGAAATTGACAAACATTATGCAAAATCAAACCCTTTTGTTTTTTATTACAGTTTAATATCTGTCCGAATCGGCAAAGTACATTATTATACATAATATCAATGTTGTATAAATTATGTTAAACGGCAAAATCGCTGTACGGCCCAACCATCTAAATTCGGGGTCCTAAACGGCCCAAGTCGTGCGATTATATGACTTGTATAAGGCCTTTTTGCCGGACGAAAAAGTATACACCGCGGTCAGACAAACGATATTCTAATCTGCAGTACAACGCGCGTTTACGTCGTTCAGACCGAATAACGGAGGGGGCAAAAATTGGGTGTATTCGCATAAGGAGAAATTATGAGAATAAAATCCGACGTTCAACCCGCGACCGGAGATAACGCAACACGGATGTCTGTTCGAGTACATTGTTGTAATACATAGCGTATTAATTACCGTCCGGTATCCCTCTCCCCCCCTTCCCTGTTCGAGCCATCGATTTCATTAGCCGCGACCCCTCGCCGATAAATCCCCGGCCGGATACGCAACGCACCCCGCGGTGAGTGGTCGATAACATTATATACAGGGTCCGAGAGAGCGCGAAACTCTTGCGGAAATTAATAATCTCGACCGACGGCAATATAATAATTATTATTGTCGGGCGGGTTCGTTAACCCAGCTCGGTTCGATTTACGGACGCGGTTTTGTCCGGAACACGGTGGCGAATACGTTTTCGGTAATTTCTCGCGATATTCAAGGGTAACGCGCGTGCACAATAGAAACGGAATCGAGCGCGTACAATAGGTGTAGGTACGCGCGAATATTGTGACGCCCACGCCGCGTTTTTCGACTTTTTTTTAAAAATGTTTTGTCGTTTAATTCGCGAAACGTATAGGTCAGGTACGTACGTACGAGCCGATAAGTACAACACATTTTCTGTGACGAATATACGACGAGCGATTATCGATTCGCGTACAATTACGAGGAGCGTTAACCGCCCGTGTCTTCGCACGTCGCCAACTGCCATTTTGTCGACAAATAAACCGGTTTCATAAGGTAATAAAAATCTTCCCATTTCGCCGACGCCTGAATCGGTTAAATTTTCACTTTGAATTGAAATATTATTGTTGCAACAAAATTATTATTACTAAAGAAAGTCCAACAGCATGAGCTAAGGTAAATATACATTTAGTATACAATTAGTGTTATTGAAAATACAAAAACTATTGACAACACCAAAAGGTAGTCAACGATTAGATAGATGTAAAAAAATAATTTTACTTGAAATTTTCATAATTTAAGTTTAGTACATAAACATTTCAATAGGACTAGTAATCCCTGCAAAAACGACAACGAAAACGAGTTGTTTCAACATGACCTACAGCGGAATGGAGTCTTGAGGTGTACATCAGGTAGCGTACGTAAATATTAACAAAACAGAATGTCGTCGGCAAAATGGAGAGTCGGCGACGTGGTAACGAACCTAACCGCCGTGCGAAAATAGATTTTTCATTGTACCGAACAATAATATCGAACCACGCGGCGCGAAGGTTTTTTTTTGTTTTGATGTTGTCGTTTTTCTACCAGAAATCGTGTTCCGAACGCCGAGAGTAACGTCTTTTCCGAATGGAAACTCTTAGTGTTAACGACGACATATAGCGGTTTCATTGTTTTCGATTTTGTTCTCTTTTGGTCGTTGCAGCACGTCGAAAAATAACGTTTCCGGCGGTTTTCGCGGGTTCTTCGCACGCCTCGGGCAAGGCCGATTCGACGCCTTGACCCCACCCTCTCTCTAACTATCCACGCATACAGAATATCTCGATTCCCCGGCTCGACCTAACGATATGTTATCACGCGTGATAAGATAAAAGTACGTACAGTCGAAAATCCCAGGGGAAGACAATGTAGCCCCTTTGGCCGCTCATCCCTGCAGACGCCTTGCTTGTGCCAGACATACAATAACACGTCCGGCGTGTTTGTTTGTTTAGGAGAAGTAACGGCGTTTACTGGCAAAGGATTCAAAAAGTTTTTACCGCGGACGCATAAAGACACCCTTTTCCTCGCCGCGGCTCTTGGATCGGCCCATCAAAATAATGCATACGTGTTGCGGACAAACTCAAAAGTCGCAAACCTACGCAAATAAAAACGCGGTTTTAACGTCGACGTTTTTTTGTCATTTATTTTGCGGTCGTCGCGATAAAACAAACAATAATAATTATTATTGTTTTACCGAGCGGAAAATATTATAAATAATTGGCATGCTGATGTTTGTCTCCGGTATTTGCGAAGACAGCGGCGTTTGACTCGTAAATCCCTCAAATTGATCCCTTAAACCCCCGTATTTGTGATTTATCCCGAGTATAATAATATTTGCTTACACCCGATACTATGATCGCGGTAATCGTCGGTTCGAGCATAAACGCAACATTTTGCTTTAACATTTTCTTTGCTGGGCGTTCGATCGCGACGGCGGGACTTTGTTGACATTGAATTCAAAACAATTATACTGAGACCCGTCGAAAATTTGGTATTCGAAAACCGAAATGGACGGTAAAAATATTTTCGATTTACATGCGTCACCGTGTTTCTGGGTGTCCGCGTTCACACACTATACTCCGACGACATAAATCACGTCCAGTGTCCACCCTGCCTCGAAAAAAGAACAACGCGTATTGCCAATTTGTCGTTAGGCTGACCATGTTAGGTTCGGTAAGATCGACTTTTTTTTGTTTTGACCGGCGCAATGACAACAGTTACGACACTACTGTCCGTGACTTTGGACCGTTCGCCGACGAGGCCTTTTACTTCGTTACACGCACCGCGTCAGCCAGAAATACCGATAACGTTTCGAGCGGTGCCGCGGACTAATTTTCGAGACCTTTGCGGGACGGCAGCTAGCTGGTGGTTCGTCTTGCTCGTCCGGTCGCAAGCTCGTGTTTTCTATATCGCGTCACAGGACGGACCGGGCGGAAAGCACGTCCGGTCGTCGTTACGTTGTCGTTATAATAACCGATCGGCGCGCAAATTTTGTTGGTCGTAAACAAAAAAATACGATCGATAATAACCGCAGGATGGTCCGGGCCCGTGTCCGAGTCAAACATCACGGCGAGATTATTATTTTGACCGTATACGTGTGCTGTGAAACACGACGGCCGCCTCCGCCGACGTTGTCGCCGGCCGCCGCAGCAATCGATTTTGTCGGCGGTCGTTGCACGGGCGGCAGCGTTACCGCCGCCGCCGCCGCCGCCGCCGTAGTCGGGTCCGTCGGCTGCAGCGCGCACACACGCACACGTCCGTCGGACGCTGTGGCGGAGTAGGGAAGTTACGGTCGGCAGTTGCGCAGCACCCTGACGCGCACGCAATAACAGCCGCCGCGGCACGACGCAGTGCACGCGCAGCCGGACGGACGGCAGCGGACGCGAACCACCACCGCCGCCGCCGCCGCCGCGCCGCGCCGCCCGCCGTTGTCGTTGTCGCCGCCGTCGCCGCCGTCGTCGTCGCGGTCGTCGCCGTCGTCGTCGTCGTCGTCGTCGCCGCCGCCGCCGCCGTCGCTGCCGCTAACCCGGCGGCAGCGACTTCGGCATTAGTTGTGTACCCCGGCACAGGTGGCCCGCGCGTTGTTTGGCCGGCAGACGCCGCGACACGGTTATTAAACGGCGCGAAACACTGGAGCGGCACGAACGCACGACCAGCAGCAGTAGCAGCAGCCGCACTTGGACGACGCCGACAACGTCACGACGGCCGACAAACAGTCCTATACTGCAGCGGCTGCAGCAGTTATAGCGCGCCGTCAGAAACGACGACGGCGTCGGCGGCGGCCCGGGGACGAGGACACCATGGAGGAACAGTTGATCGGCGAGATCGAACGACGTCCCGTGCTGTACGACAGGAGCGTGCAGGCGTGCAAAAAAATGTCGGCCAGGGACGAGGCCTGGCGCGAAGTGGCCGAAATAATGAAGCAATCCGGTACGCGGCGCGTTATTAGATAACAATATCCGATAACACCGTGTCATCATTGTATTGTTATATATTTACATAACTAACTGATTTTCGTTTTGTTTTCAGAGGCCGAAGTGAAAAAACGGTGGAGAACGCTCCGCGACTCGTTCATGAGATTTCACCGGTTGCAGAGGACTTTCGGGCCCAAGGGCAAAAAGAAAATGTGGATATACTACAACGAGATGGCGTTTCTGGTACCGCACATCGAGCCCAGAGAGTAATATTACAATATAATACGACCGAACATTATAATTTAGCGATTTGTATAATTTATGTATTTTTTTTTTTTCCCCGCGGTCTTTAGTTACAAAATGTCCGGCAGCAACGAATACGAGTACAACGACGACACGATGGACAACAACAGCGGCGGCCGACTGCCGGAACCGCAGCCCGCCGACATGGTGTCCATCGCGTCCGACATGTGCGAGGCCGAGCTGACCACGCCGCCGCCGCAGCCGATGATGGTGGGCAGCGCGGCCGGGTGCCCGTGCTACAACGGCGGCGGCATTCACGTGCACCAGGAACCCGCGGCGTCCATGATGATGCTGGAACAGCCGGGCGGCGGCAAGCGCATGCGGCGGTCGGACGAGTCGTACGACCCGGTGGCCGATTCGGACGAACACTTCGCGCTGAGCTGCGTGGCCGCGCTCCACCGGTTGCCCGTGCGGAAAAACGCCGAGATGCGCATGAGGATCTTGCACATGCTCTACGAAGCCGAATACGGCGAAGAGCCCGCGCTCAAATAAATCGTCCGCGCAGGCCGTGCGTGGTGTACCTGCGTCACGCGTTACGTTATATTATGCATATTATACTGCGCGATGTCATCGCTGTCGTTCAGCATGACTTGTACATTTTCGTTTGTTTTCGTTATTGCACCGCGCCCATAATGTGTATTATCGTACCGTACGATTATTGTATATATTTATTGATAAAATTATTGTTCCGTTTACCGCGGGAATATTGTGTAAATTGCGTGTACACGCGATTATCGACTATTTTTTTTTGTAAAATCAAAGCGAGTCAACCTTTAGATTTATTAACAACTGTCGATACATTATTATGACTATTATTGTGTACTTAAATATAGAATTTTGTTTTTATAAATTATTGTTTTTTCTGTGTCGATTTCCCCGCAACTATCCTGTATATATAATTGCTGGTGACGAATCCATAGTGTCTGCTGGAGTCGCGTGCGGGAAAAACGGAAAAAAAAAAAAAAAACCGTGATAAAAATCGGCGAAACGAAAACTCGCCCGACTCGTATTTTCGCGCGCCGACCCGAGACAACAAACGGGTGCGAATCTTTTTGCATCACTGTTATTATTATATTTATTTTTTTTTTCTACATACAAGTAACGATATTTTCTCGGCACAAGCGTGAAACGCGAGTATTTTTGACGCGCGATATTATCTGCGCGCGCGCCCGCGCGTTCGTCGTACACGCGCGTGGGCGCACGACGTGAAACAAGCGCTCGTCATTGCGAAACCGGGTGTACCCGTACGCGCGCGTGTCACTCCGAAACGTTTCGATACCGCGGGGTCCGCCGAAACTGCGCACACGACGCACACGTGTCCCGGAGTGCAGAGCGTTTTCAAACAACGAAATCGATTCGATGCCGCGGCGGCGTTTCACCGGCGCGGTTTTCGCGGTTATTTTCACGCGTTCCAATTACGTTTCCACCGGTTTCTGTCATCACGGCTCCGCGGCCGACATCTCTGCCGCAGGGACTTTTTCTCGTGACGTTTAACGTATACGGGTGGCGGTTTTCGATTTCCCGCGTACAGTTTCCCCGGTAAATGCGGTGGGTGGGGGGAATGTGGCGATTGTACGCGTATAATTGTCGTCCGGGTTACCGAGAAAAATCACGACTAGTAATGTTCTCTGTTTTTATTTATTGTGTCGGTAAACGACTTTTCCACTAGAAATCTCGCTCGATTCGAAAAAAAAAACGACAAGGTATATTTTTTTGATGCGTTTCAGATTCAGTCTTTTCGTATTGACGAGTCATTTTTTTTTTTTTTTTTGGATTTTCTTCGCATTTTTCCAAATAAATTACTAAAAACGGGAAAGTGAACCCATTTTGTTATTTTCTATTTTTATGTCGTAATTCAGTTAGAAATAATTGTAAAAATCTGAAATGCGCACAGAAGCACAGAATACTTAAATGAGACTTTTGTCAACGTGATTAAATTTTCAAAATATTCTGACGACTTTTGGGCTACATTTATAAACATTTCAAATATTTGAATCGCAGAATTTCGAGTAAAGCGGCGCAATAAAGTCGTAGCGGCGGTACAGAGGGGGCGCTGCTGTTCCGTATGTGCGCGTTTTAAAACTTTAACGGAAATCGTGAGAATCACGTCGTCGTTTCCAAACACGTTTAACCGAATTTCGCTCAGAATCGTACTTCGTCAGCAATGATAAATCGTTGCGTACAGATATTATTTAAATAACTTTACGCGTATCTTACCCGCAACCCGACTTCCACCTACAACGACAATACACCCGTTATGCAATATCGGTTCGTTTTAATTTTTTTTTTATTGTTATTTAACGAACGTCAGTCGTTAGTGTACACGAGTATATGAGTATAGTAAGTATACGGATAAATTTAGTAAAACGAAAAATGCGGCGAAACGTAAATTAATATCATTTTTTTTCGGACGGTCGATAAAAAATATGCTGCATAATTATTTCGCACTCGTCGACAGTATTATTTTAACGACCGAATTAAGTTTACGATTCGTTTTTTTTTTCTAAGTACGGTTTTTCATAATGTGTGAAATCCCCGAACAAAATAGAAATATTAAAATATGAAAATAATAAAAAAAAATCGAATTGATACATAACTCTTGGTTACAGCCGCCGCGCGATACACATAATTTAAAACCAAATCTACCTGTTTGAGTTGCACACAGGGTGTTCCTCTACGTATTATACAGGGCAGTGCATTGATCGTTGAACGCTCATTATTTCGCTAAGTATAGAATTTTTACAAAAAAAAAAATGTTTAACAGTTTAAGAAACATGCAGATCTAAAACGTATCGTCACTATTATTTTTTTGTCACCCTTATTTACGGAGTGTGAAACGACTAACGACTTTTGATTTTCAAATGGTAAACTATATTATATTAAAAGTTTCACACACAGATAGAGTTTAAATAAATTTTGACGTAAAAATATTAGATATCCGTCAACCCGTTTACGAGATACTCCACTTTTTACATCGGGTAAGGGGAAAACAGCGGAGTATCATTTGTGCGGCGGCACGGCGCGTAGCGTTTGAACAGTGCTACACCATACTCTCCCACTACCCAAACTTAAAAGCGGAGTATCTCGTAAGCGGGTGGACGGCAATCTAAAATTTTAAAATCGAAATTACGACGATGAAAATTTTTAAATCGGCTTGTTTCTTAAATTACCCAAAAAAAAATGTTCTGCAAAAAGTCAATATTTTGCAGAATAATGAGTGTTTAACGATAAAGGAATCGCCCAGTATATATATATATATATATACACAGTAAGTTCGGTTCTGACGTTTTTGTTACATTCAGAATTTTCTATGAACATTTTTTTGGTAAAAAGACGCGTATAAAAACTTTTTGGAAGCGTACGCGTACGTTATAAAATGTTACGTTGTCTTTTTCAACATCTTACGATTTCTACGAGGATAATAATATGTCGACACCAACGATAATATTACAATAATTAAAGCATCATCACCCGGAGCAGACTGCAGTGGCGGTTTTCGAATCGTTTGCCGGGCAGAGGGTTCTTTGACACTATCAGTTATAACGTATTTAACATCGGTCGATATCGGACCAGCCCTTATCGCTACCGTTTGTTATAATATAGTCGCCGTCCTGGTTATTATACGTCGGGAATTTCCGCGTTTGACGATGAACGTGACGCGACAATTATTATTGCATTAAATATAATTAAAAAAAAAAAAAAAAAACAGCGATAGTTTTTTATTTTATTTTTCGGAACGCGGTGCAGTTAGACATTTCGCCTGCGCGAACCATACACGATAATATTATTCGCGTATTTTTATATTTGTTACACTAATCATAATAATAATAACACCGCTCTCACGGTAGTATATAATTGCACGCGGCAGCACGTATTTTAGCACTGTGTTGTAGCAGCTCTATTCGCCGTTCGAGTTACGTAATTTGTAAGGTAATTTATCGCGATTTAAAAAAAAAAATTCTCTACTATTTCGGCGTGCGTGCGGACGCGATCAGACTATTGCGCGAGCATATTACGGCGTTTGAATGAAGTTTTTCAATATTATTACTATTGATACGATATTATACTCTCGTCGGCATATCGTAATACAGACGTATATTATTAAGGCAGGTAACCGCTTGTTATAATTCGTATGCATTTGCGTATATCGACACCGGAGTAACGAATAAACACGTATAATATACCGTCGGTAAGTCGTGTACGTACCTGCGTGGACTGATGTATATAGGTAGGTAGTGATTTGCTTGGACGGATTCGCAAGTCGACAACCAACAGATGTGTGTGTGTGTGCGTGTGCATTGTGTATTGTACGATTAAGTGTTTACAATACTGTAGCTGTCCGGCACAGATTCGCTCGTGAACAGTATATTGAATAGAAAAAGAAAAAAAAAACGCGTCCGTCGCTGCGAATTAGCGGATATCACAACGCGCGTCATGATAAATCGCACCGACCCAACGTCTTTAACGGCCGGGCGATTGTAAACCCTCCACGATTTCAATGACCTGTAAACTCCGCAGCCGGGTCTATATTTCGGTACTGGCCGCAAGGCACACCGCCATATAAATATATATATATTATGAACGACGTGTAAACTGTCCCTAGCCTGAAAAAGGTGCATTTTACAGTCTCGCCTACGTATGCACAATACACATTATTCCCCCTCCGTTTCGTACCCGCCCGACGCGATTCCGCCAACAAACCGGGGAGTGTTTTCGATTAAAAGTCCGACACGAGCGAGCGAACGGAGGCGTGTAGTACTGTAGTGTTCTACTATTATCAACATTGCAGATTCAGACGTTTAAAATCGAGCCCGGAAACACGGACAAATCATAAACAGTCGCGTTCGCCGCAACTCGTTTGTGTGGGTATATAATAATATGCAAGTACCGAAGTAGACCGGGAAAAGTCCGCCTGCGTCGGGAGAAATACGAGTTTAGAAAAATCGGCAGAGTTCACTATAGCCGTTTTTCATATTATTTTGATGTTATACCGTTCTCTACTACAGTATTAATAATACTCGAAAGGGATAACGCGACTATCCGACTCCGAAAATTTAGCGGCCAAGCTAATATACCACATTCCACGTTAAGACGTTTAGCCGTGAAAACGCAACAGACAGCGTAACTTTCGCATGTATTATGATAATATCACTAATCATCACTTTAAGGATTATAAGGAGCGTTTAATGTAGTTTCGAACATCTGCAAATTTCTCGAATGCCGATTTTATATTAGGCATTTAAAGCGTTTGAAAAAAAAAAACTAAAACAAAAAAATAGATATTATTTCGTCTAAAACTATTACCTAATCGAAAACGACGAGTTTAATTCTATACGACGACGACGGGTATAAATACGCCAAAATAACATTATCACTTTAGTGTATCTCTGCGCGTACCCACCGCGCGTCATCGGCGATCGGTGCAGAATAATCAATTTTATATCCGAACGTATACGCGCGTCACTTTAATTTTATACCGAAAGTTCCAAAAATAATTGCGAGTTGGGTCGTTTTACACATTTTTTTTTTTTTTTCTTTTACAATGCGTTAGATAGTAAGCGCACAGTAAATACACTATAAACTCGATAAAGGTCGCTGCGATGTAAATTAGCGGCGAGTATCACGCCACTTGCCGGTATCGTACGTAAGCCGGAATTGAGGAAATGTCGGGGAGTTTTTATTTTTAAAACTTGTTTTCATTCGATATTTACGGAGACAAAACGTTTTAACGTTTTGGAAATATGACGGGAGGATAGAACCTACGTTCCTCTATGACTTTGACCGATAAATCGGTTAATCGCAATATCGGCTCGTCGGTTTTCAATTGCAAATACATCAAATATCGATTATATCACGATATCGGGAAGTATTACAAA